CAATCCCCCTGGAGGAAAGTGAAATTTAATGGCAGTAAAGTACAATGTGAATATTTTCTGACATTAAAGAGCTACTGTTGAAGGAGCAGTTAAAAAATGAGTTAAGAAAGTAATCGCTTGGTCATTGGAAAAGTCATGACACATTTTTGCATAGAAAAACACCAAAAAATACATCATGGTTTTTCTGATAACCCAATAGAATAGAATTTTCAATGAGTGATTTTGGAAGTAAGAAAGTTTTATACAACAGAAAAGTTATATAAAGTGAGAAGTCACTGGAAATAATAGGGTCAAAATGTTAGGTAAGTGGGACACAGGTTTGAGTTGTTAGCTAAGATTGCATGAGGGAGGAAAGATAAGAATAAAAGCAAACTAAGATTTATAGACAGGTAGCTTTCCCAGATGGCTGCCAAAGATGGCAAAATAAAATTTTAAAATGTTTTGAATATTTCTGAAAATCAATGTGTAAATAAATGTAAAGACTGTGAGATGAGTAGATCATGCTTTCTGTCTGTGTTATTGTATATTTTGAATAGTATTTTCTTTGTAAAACAGAAGACATATAAAGATTATTGTTCATAATAATACAAGAAAATTATATTTTCTAGTTTAACTCCCATGGAGTGTAAAATAAGGGAACCAGCAGTTAGCATAATGGCTATGTCGCTGGACTCCCACGTAGTCGATCACGGTTTGTGTCCTGGACCTAGTGGCTTAAAACTCACGCCAGGCATGTGTGTGTGCGTGCCCAAGATCCCGAGAGGAGAATGGAGGAGAATGGATTGCGGCGTGACCATCCCCCATGGGGGGGTGATTTCTCGCTTTCTGTCTCTATGTCTCTCTCTGTCTGTCTGGCGAGCACACACGCCCTATAGCGAAAAAATCTCTCCAAAAAAAAAAAAAAGTGTAAAATGAGTAGAAATTGAGTAGAAATTGTATATTTATAAAAATTTTTAATGTTTATATCCAGACTAAAATCAAAATCATAATTTCTTCCATGTTTTATCTTCTGATAGCTATACTGCTCATAATAAAGTGTTTTATATATTATCATTATAACTATTCCCTTTACATACCTACATTCCTCTTTTTTCATTTCCTTTTGTCATAATAGTTTTTATTTTTATTTATTTTTATTTTTTTCTTGACTTGCTTATTTTATTTTCTTTTTAACTAACTAATTAATTAATTAATATTCATTTCCTGAGCATCATCACAGCATACAAAATGTGATTTCCCATCCAGAATATACTGCATAGTGGCTTAATTATACATGTTATCATCAGTAATCTTCCATTTCGATTCACACCACACATACACACACACACACACACACACACACACACACACACCCCTTTTCTCACCCTCTGCCATTTCCCACCATCCTCCAACACTATCTCTGGTATCTACAGTTGCATTCCATTCCTCTTATTCCTTTTTTAACCCTCATTTTATTGATTCATAAAATTTCTTAAATAATCTACTTTCAATAGCAAATTCAGCTGGTATATACGTATCTGTGAATACATTTCTGACTTTGGGTGTGAAATTCTGAGTAGAATGAATATACTCTAAGGTAGCACCTAGCTGATGCTATATAGCTGACTATGGTCATTAAATAGATATTTTTTAATATATTTTTTTATTTCAAGAAAAGCAGTTTTAGCTTTAATAAATCAAAGAAATTCTAAGGAAATTTGCTTAAGACTTAAAGCCAGGAAACAGGTTCGAATTCTCTTCAAACAGTATGTACATGAACCTATCAGCAGCTCAAGACAGGACAAAAATCCTTAAAACCAGAAAACAAAGCCTAGAAGAAAATTAGGAATGTCTTAGTCAAAAGTCATAAAATTCTATTTCACTAATTCAGTCTCATGTACTTAATCTATCTTCTGTTGTGGTTTGATCTTCCCAATTAAATTCTGGGATATAATATTCAACCTCAGACTTGTCCCTACAATTAAGTTGGTCATTTTCTTAATTTTTGAACTCTTATTTCTGTGTGTCTGTATTTAATTTTCCTGGTAGTTCTCCCTTGAGAACTTCTTCGAGATCTGGTCTGGTGTTGGTAAATTCTTTCAGGTTTTATTTATCTGGGAATGTTCTTGTCTTTTCTTCCTATATGAAGGAAAATCTTGCCAGGTACAGTATTCTTGGTTGAAATTGCTTTTCCCTAATCACATTGAATATATTTTCCCACTCTTTCTTCCCATTCTTTCCTCACTCACATTGTTTCCAATGAAAGGTCTGCTGTTATCCTGATGGGGTATTCTTTGTAGGTAACTTGACATTTCTCTCTTGCCAATCTTAGTATCTTGTCTTTGTCTGTGGTTTTGGTCAGTCTAGCTATAATGTGTCTTGGAGAAGATCTTCTTGGGTTCATTCTATTGGGGTTCCTTTTCTTGGGACTGGATTTTTGAACGCCTATCTAGGTTTGGAAAGTTTTCTTGCAGGATTTCATGGAATAGATTATCAATGCCCTTGCGAGTCTCTTCATCTTCTGGGATATCAGCTATCTGGATGTTTGGACATTTGATGGTATCTATTATTTCTTATATATTATTCTCATTTTGGGGGGCAATTTTCTCTGTCTTCATGGTGGATTTTTCTAGGCCAGCAATTCTATCTTCTACATCTGAGATTTGATTTTCTGTATGATCTAGTCTGCTTTTAATACTTTCAGGGGAGGGTTTTTAATTCCTGTATTATACATTTTGTCTCTAACAGGTCCACTGATTCTTTTTTATTGTGTGTATATCTGCTTTTAGATCTTGCAATAATTTCCTCACCTCCTAGAACTCATCAGCTTCTTTCTCCTGCCTTTTCTGCAGTTCATTGTCCCTCTTCTCTTTCATGTTTGTTAGCTTTGTCACATAAATATTCTAAATTCTTTATCAGACATTTCCATGAGTTCCATTGTACTGAGGATGAAGAGGAGTTATTCTTTTCCCTCGGAGGAAAGGTATTTTTTTGCTTTCCCATATTTCTTGTGACCCTGTGGTGATTTCTAGTCATCTGATAGATGGTGTGTTTCTTCCTAATTCTTGAAGTTCAATCTGAGCGTTCAGAAGACTGTCGGAGGAGATAATTGGCAATCTCTCTTCCATTCTGTTGTCACTCTTTGTGTTTCAGATTCAGTGGGAACAGAGAAATATTCTGACCCTAATCGTATTCAGATGTTTGGATCCTGTTCACGTGGACCTGCCTAGGCACTTAGTGTGTAGAGGCTGAGCAGCCAATGAATAAAGATAAAGAAAAAGAGGAAAAGAATTAGAGAAGAGGAAAGAAGAAGAAAAAATAAAAAGAGGGAAAAATATGATAAAAATCTTTAGATTTTAATTTTAAAAAGCAGAAAATGAAAACCAATATTTCACAGTTCAAGTTTGGTATCCATCTCAGGATGGGCCTGGGGGGGTGTGCCTTTCCTAAATTGAATGGGGAAAGGCAACAATTAGCATAATAAAGGAGGAGCTTAAGAGCCCAGAGAATACTTTACCTTAAAAAAAAAAACTTAAAGAAGTTCAAAGTTGGGACCAGCAGTTAGCATAATGGCTATGTCGCTGGACTCCCAGGTAGTTGACCATGGCTCACATCCCAGACCCGGTGGCTTAAGACTCATGCTAGGCGTGTGTGCATGCATGCCCAAGATCCCGAGAATGGAAGAGAAGGGATTGTGGTGTGGCCATCCCCCCCCCCGGGGGGGGGGGATTTCTTGCTTTCTATCTCTCTGTCTCTCTCTGTCTGTCTGGCGAGCGCACGTGCCCTATAGCAAAAACCTCTAAAAAATCAAAATAAAAAAATAAAAATAAAAATGTTCACAGTCACAGGGAGACACAGAGAGACAGAAAGAGATAGAAATGGAAAGGAGACAGAGGCAGTCCTACCCAATAGAAATAAATCTGAAGGGAGCAGTCTCAGCAGAAAATCTTCATTTTTAGTCAAAGAAACCAATATTTCAGAGCTCAAGTTCGGTATCCATCCCTACATTCCTTCTTTATTACAGTTACTAGTCCTACAAGATTTCTAAAATATCTTACCTGAAAAAATATTTCCCCATTTGAATTATAAACTAAGTAAATATTTTATTAGTTTTTACCAAAATTAGAAGTGAATGAATATTCCACCACTAATTGCCAAATACAGAGGAAACAGAAAATAGGAATTAAATTTATGTTTGTAGTTTATAAATCTGGCAGATAAAATTATGATTCGTCTGTGGCTTACTGAGGAAAATAAGAACAAAATAATAAAGATTTGTTTTCATTATTTTATGGAATCTTTAGAGACTCATCCTGAAATAGCCTAGTACTAGCATAAGAAAAACACCTATAGATTTCCCTTCTCTTTTCAAAAAACTGGGGTAGCAGAAAAGTAACCCAGATTTTTAGCCCAAGCAATTATATGATTCTTCAAAATTCTCCTGTTTTCAGCCACATAACTCTTAGTACCACCAAACAGCATGAGTTGGTGTTAGTGTTATATTGGACCTCCAGAGAATTATAAATTATTATTTTAAAGGTAAATATACAAAAATTTGCAGAGATGATCTCTTCACAGAAAGTTCCCTGCATATCAAATCTGATGCATCATAGAACTAAACTATATAAAAATATCAACATGCTTGCTTTTTCTCCAACCTAATGAAGTTAAGAGAAAACTACTGTTAATCAAAGAAGAACCAGTTGACATGAAAAGCAGTCTCTTTGTACACAGAAGCTGCCCTTATTCACTGCATTTCTCCAGACTGGTTTACATCATTACATTTTTCTCAATAAACCTACATATCTTTGAAAAGAATGGAAACTTCCAGAAAAAGTTTGCATTCCACATATCATTACTGTCATTTTCATAATATTGTTTTAACTGAAACTAGGCATTACAAGGTAAACTCCTCAGGCTTTGAGAAAAGAGTTGGCAAAGCTTTTAAAGAAGCCAGTATTAATGCTAAAAAAGTGCAAAAGAAATGACAAGACAATCACATAAAACAAGTGACCACATACCAACAGCTGTCATGTAATCCCAACGGTCAATGAGGCACATATTGAAGATGAGGTGATCAGATGTTTGACCCTGGCCAATAAGTGAAATCTGCCTCTCCAAATTCTGGCACACAGATGAAGTCCAGCCAATGAGAAACCAAAACACTACCAAGAGTATTACTGCCAGCATCCTCATGACCCGTCCACCAGTCATATATGGAATTCGTTGGGCTGTTCGTGACAGAAACACCTTCAAAACCCTGAAAAAGTAGAAATATCAAAATGTGAAGGCAAAGCTAACTCAGAAAGTAAAGCTCTAAAAATCTTATTTTTCTAAGAAATTAAAACCTACTTACCCACTACACAGAGTTTTAACATGAGAAAAACCAGAAACTGTACTGTTCATAATTTTATTTAATCTCATTTTAGTTTATCTTCCAATAGCAAAACAAATATCCTGCATTAAAGGTCATTGACTCAACAGATTCATATATGAGGAAATTCTTTTGAGCATGACTTACTATTCAAGGAAAACTTCAAGGACTTTAGAAAGACTCAGGAAAACATTGCTCAGACAAACAGGGTTTCTGGGAGAACAAAAAATAGTCCTGAAAGTAGGTAGTTGGATTTTATAGTATTATACAGAGTCAAAAACCTTCCTGAGCTAGTTATTTATTTCTACAGTGGAATGTTATTAATATTAAAGGTATTTTCTGGAATTCATTTCATATGCCCTTTCTTAGTTTTATCACATCACCGAAAATAATGATGAAATAATTATAAAAACAATGAGAGGGATATTTAAACACTAGGTTAATTGAATAAGGTCACTGTATTAAAGAAGATTGAAATGACCAATTAGAAATGTGATCTTTAAATATTTGAGGATTGCAGGGCCAGGAGGTGGTATAGTGGTTAAGGTCCTAGATGTGCATGTAGACGATTTCTTTTTGAGTCCTAGACCAGCACCTTGAAATTCTCACTGTCCATGTGTGTGTGCATGCCAGAATACTGAGAAAAGAATGGAGAAGAAAGGAATGCACCATGCCCCCCCGGGGGGTGATTTATCACTTTCCCTTTCTCCATTTCTCTCTTGTGAATGCATGCACCCTGTGGCAAAAACCCTAAAAAATTAAAAATATAGAAGATTCACATTAAATTTTTTTAAATGGTATTTTATCCTACATATAAGACTCAGAGAAATAGTTAGGGTTGAGAACTACTGGATTAGATGCTATCTGGGGACTGTTACATCTCTAAATATTATGTGAAGATAAATCCAACCAAATCCTCCACATCCATCCATTCTTTACTTTTATATTTTTGTGTTTTTTTTAGCTGATTTTAACTTCTCATTTGCTTTCTGATATTTTATCAGACAATTGTGATTTGACTTAAACCATTCATAATGATACTATAAGAATATCCATATCAGTTTCCATAAGGTAAAAATAAATATATTTTCCAACTTTCTATTCCTTACTTCATCACCTTTTCAACAATTTTAAAGTTAGATGAATTCTTCATAAAAGTCACTATAAATCCAGGAATAAAGCAAATACACATGAAATAGTGAAGACGCATTATGCTCTTTTTTCTCTATACATAGATCTTTAGTAGTTCTTCTTGAATTATTATAATACAAACAGTAGAATTACTTTGAAGCAGATTCTTACTTATCCTTTATTTAATCGTGGGGTTAAGCCCAATGTCTTTCAGAAGACACAAAGGATGAAGTTATTTTATTGTTATTAAGATGTTAATTCTCAATTTTTCTGAACAATGTCAGAAGATGTTAATATAAAATAAAAGGTGCAAGAGAAGATCTCTTAACTACTTTAAACTTAACCAGCTAATCACATTACCAGGTATTCTCCATTCCCTATGTAAAATACAGTGAGTGCTGAATGCTAAAACAGGTAGCTAAAATGAACGTTCTCTTCAGTATGTCTCAAGCTCTTCTCCAATCAGTTACACTGCTACTTGTTATGAATGAGTTGTATCTGTCCCTAAATCATGACTGTTGTCATATAATTTAATTAAATATTAAGTGAAAAAATACACACACACACATATAGTTTATATATGAAAATATATAAAATAGTGAAATAAAAGGAAACTCATTTCTATAAAATATATCTTGAGTGCTTTGGAAAGTTTGGGGAAAAGAAACATACGAATAAGATATGGAAGAAGGAAAGTGAGAAAATTTTAATATATAAAGGTCATCAATTAACATAAAAATCTAGAAAGACTCTATGCTCAGATTACCTTAAAACTTCTCTAGATTCTCACTTCTTTTTATAGAACCAACACAATGTGCACAATATTCTAGTCTATTATAACCAGCCACTCCCCATCAGCTTGTATTACCTTCTGAGCACCGCCTCCTGTCAGACCAGGCATTAGGTTCTCATAGGAGTGTGATCTCTATTGTGAACTGCACATGTGAGGGATCTAGGTTGCATGTTCCTTATGAGAATCCAATGCCTGATGATCTGAAGTGGAGCTGAGGCAGTGATGCTACTGCTGCATTTTAAAGAAAATACTGAGTCCTACTTAAATTACATGTTCATTGCAACAGGTGATTCACATTATCCAAGCCTGCTTTGTATAATATGTGGTGATTGGCAATCCAATGAAGCTATGAAACCTTCAAAACTGCTTTGCCACATGGAGACCAAGTACCCTGTGGTGAAAGATAAGCCTGTGGAATTTTTCGAAAGACAAAAATGTGAACACCAAGGACAGAAGCAGTTACGGAAGGCCATCACTTACTTCATCAAATGTGTCTGCACTAAGAGCATAATTCCGGGAGGCTAACTGCATTGCTAGAGCTATGAAGACTTTCACTACTGGTGAAGAATTGATCCTGACTGCTGCTAAGGAGATTTATAACAAATATTTAGTAGAGGTTACAGTTCAAAAGGAGCATGTGTTCCTCTTTTGGCTAGCACCATACCTAGATAAACTGATGAAATAGCAGAGAATATTGAAGCACAAATTTTAGAGAAGACTGAATCACCATGATATGCAATCCAGTTGACGATTCTACAGATGTTGACAATGGTATGCAATCCAGTTGACCATTCTATGGATGTTGACAATAAGGCAACAATGTTTGTTTTTTGCAATCTATTTTTCAGGAGAATGTGCATGAGGATGTTATGTGCACTTTTGTTGCCAACCAACACCACAGCTGCAGAACTAGTCAAGTGTTTGAATGGTCACATATCTGGGAAACTGAATGGCCATTAGTGTCAGTATATGCACAGATTGAGTGGCTGCCATGATTGAATGGTTTTCTGATTTTTCTACTCAGGTCAAAAAGGCTGCTTTTGAATGTGAGTCTATGTACTGTGTTATCCATTGAGAAATACTGGCTAGCTGAAAAATGTCACTTGATCTTAACAATGTTTTTCAGGAGGTGATTAAAACTACCAACCACATTAAAGTACATGCCTTTAACTCACATATGTTTGTGCAGCTCTGTGAGGAGATGGATGCAGAGCACATACCTCATGTATCCAGAAGTGAGATGGTCTTGAAAAGGTAGATCTCTAGCTACAGTTTTTGAATTATGAGCACTGCCTTGGAAATTTCTTTTGGAAAAACAGTCACCACGGACAGCTCATTTCAGTGACAGGATGGGTTGCAAAACTTGTTTGGGTGACAGATTCAAGGTGGTCAATAAACTCAATCTTTTACTTCAAGGGAGAATGACAACTGTGTTCAAGTCAGCAGATAAAGCAACTATATTCAAAGCCAAACTGGAATTATGGGGACAGTGAGTGAACACTGGGATTTCTGACATATTTCAAATGTTTTCAGAGATTTTGAAAGAGACTGAGCCAGGATATTTTTTCTCCCAGCTGGTGCATGATCACCTATCTCAGCTTTCAAAAAAGGTTGAGCATTGGGAACCAGCAGTTAGCATAGTGGCTATGTCGCTGGACTCCCACATAGTCGACCACGGTTCACGTCCCGGACCCAGTGGCTTAAAACTCACACTGAGCATATGTGCATGCGTGCCCAAGATCCCAAGAGGAGAATGGAGGAGAAAGGATTGCAGCATGACCATCCCCCCTGGCGGGTGATTTCTCGCTTTCTGTCTCTATGTCTCTGTCTGTCTGGTGAGCGCACGCGCCCTATAGTGAAAATCTCTCCCCACCTCCCCCCCAAAAAAAGGTTGAGCATTGTTTCCCAATCACAAAAGACTTGGGAAGAAACAGATACATGATCCATTTGTGAATAAGCCAGGTGAATCAACTTCATCCAGGATAGATCAATTGCTTGAGATCACAAATGATGGTAGCCTTAAAGTAAGTCTGAGAGAACTTAAAATCTTTATATTTTCTACATTAAAATCAAGGCAGTATTCCCTGAGATTGTCACAAAAGCACTGACAAGCCTGCTTCCATTTCCAACACCCTATACTTGTGAAGTAAGGTTTTCTGTAGTGACAGCAACCAAAACAAAATAATGAAGTATACTGAACATAAGCAACACACTTAAGGCATCACTGTCTCCTATCACTCCCAGTTGTGACTGTCTAGTTGGAAAACAAATTCTAAATGTCAAACTCACAGAAAAAGAAAAGACCTTATTTCAAAAAGACTAGTGATTGATTATTTGTGTGTATCTATATCCCTCTTTAATATCTTTCTGCTTGAAACAACTTTATCAATGAATTGACCAATTCCTGTACTAATAACAATTATATTGGAGAAAAAGTTTCCATTGTAATCAGCAGATGAAACGATTCAAAGAACTCTAAGAAATGAGAAAAATTTCTTGGAAAATTAAAAATTTTGCTAGTTCCAATCTTATTTTCTATAGGAGAAACTTGTAGTACACATAACTATTTCTTATTGTACTTAAAGTCTAAATTTTGAATGATTAAACTGTCATAAAATAGAATCTGACTCTCTCTTTTTTGCCTTTACATTTTATTGATATATTTGCCATAGGGCATGTATGCTTGCTGGAGAGCGACAGAGAGAGGGAAAGTGATCAATCATACCCCCCCTCCCAGGGGGGATGGCCACACTGTAATTCCTTCTGTTCTTGGGATTCTGGGGATGCTTACACATGTGCCCAGAGTGATTTTTCAAGCTGCCAGGTCTAGGACTCAAACCACAGTCAGCCTTGTAGAAGCCCAGTGTCTTAACTACCATGTCACCTGCTGCTCCCTGGCTTCTGTATTTTGGTTAGTAATGAAAAAGAGACAATTGTTCCAAATTCTAGCTTTACTCTTAAT